CATGTCGTGCCTCACTATCCCCCCCCCCCCCAGGAAGATTCCTGGTACTGATGTCTGTTAGAGGCTGAGTCGACCTCAGGGTCACCATACTGCGGTTGGAAGGATTCGGTAAATTGGAAAAATCCACCTCATCGGGACTCGAACCAGCGACCTTTCGACTTAAAACATAGTGCCTCAACCAACTATGCTACCGCGCGCTCCTTCACTTCACATTCATAAATTTACTTGAAGATCTCCTGATGGAAAGACTCACAGTCAGATTGACCATAATTTGATAGACAGGAGACGGCATTCAAATATACTTATGTTAGATCGTTCAGGGCAGCAGATTGTGAAACTGACCACTGTCTAGTAGTGGCAAAAGTTGGGACGAGACTGGTAGTGAGTAAACAAACAACACACAGAGTTCATATGAAGAGGGTCAATCTCAAGATTAAATGAGGTAGAGGGTAAAGAGCAGTATCGTGTCGAAATCTCAAATAGGTCCGCAGCTTTGGAAAATTTAGACGCTGAGGTGGATATTAATAGAGTCTGGGAGACTATTAAAGAGAATATCAGCCTTAGAGACTAGGTTATTATAAACTGAAGAAGCATATTTAGACTATAAAGTAGTTTAATATTCGTAGTCTTTGTATTTGTAGTAGTATTCGTAGTATTTGTAGTCTTCTGGGTTATGAGACGTTTAGTTTCGTGCATGGTCACCAATATATAGGAGAAATATACTGCCTACATCTCAGTTTTCCTTGATGAAGGTAGCATCTGGTTTCTCCGAAACATGGTAACCATCTGAGAAACTACACTGTGTCGCAATCCAGAAGAACACAATTTAAATCTTGAGCTCCGTTGAAAACTTTTCTCGCATTATTTGAATTTCATTCTGTTTCCATTACCGCATGAGTTCGCTGCTGATTCTCAAAAGTAGCTCTAGCATGGTAACACATGGTAATACATGTTAGTTGGCGTTGCATGATGTGTGTTTGTATCACTGTGACGCCAGAAAGCCAAGAGGTCCGGGTGTCCGCAGCGGACGGTGAGGAGAAAACTGAATGTCAACAAGAGTCTCACGCAACCCATGAAGAACCAGAGAACAGCGACATCTCGACAGGTGGGTACCATTCAAAGTTCCAGACGTCTTGATCGTCACTTGGTTAGCTGTCATATAACTGTAAGTAACTTATCACCACTGAATAATGCGAACATAAAATCTTGCACGAAATCTTAGCTGAATATCAATTATCGGGGCATTTAAAATTACTTTGTAGGTAATTTATTTTAAACAGTTATATCACAGAACACGGACTAACTTCTGAACTGGCAGAGTCAAAGGAAAAGAAGGGCTGAGAAAATCGCATATATGAAAAGCTATGGAATTTGTATCCTTCATCAGATATTATTACTGTGCCCATATTATAGTTCTCTGGATTGAGATACGGTCGGTAACAACATTTCAGAGGAACGTTCTACTTCCAGCTCCATGGTTACTGTGCAGATAACTAGTGGAAGACCTTGCATGAAGTTTGATACCAGGAAGCTCGGCTTAGCTTCGTCAGTCTGTTCAAAGTTTTGTTAAAATCGGGAAAGTGTAAAGGATAAAACTATGCCAGTATCTCGGAGCGAATTTGAACAGAAAAATAAACTAAAACACATTTATGCCCCACGCAGTTTTTCTGCAAATCTTGCAGTTTTTCATAGAATTAAATAAAAATGATTTCTATGTTGTCATCTGAAACTCGAGCGCTGTCAGACCGACATTGGTCAAATTTTATGCTGGAGGTCCCGGATCATCTCTCCCGGCTGTTTTACGCTGTTTATAACAGATCGAGAAATTATAATTCGCAAGATCTGCAATGAAAATCGAACGTAACAAAATGTTTATGCTATGCGTATATTACCAAATATTTCCTTCTTTTTTGCGTGCAGTAGGAACATTCCTGGCTGTCGTTTTGAGTCAGTCTCTCCACAGTAAACGCGTAGGGCAGAACAGTTTTGTTGGCAGCAACAAGTAATGAAGTATTTGCAGTAGAAGAAAGCAAAGCGGCGAGCCGTACAGACTGAATGTCATATCGCAATTTGCGCTGAAACTAAACTGACCTAAAATAAAATTGTCAAAAGTAAAAAGCAAAAAGAAAATAATATAAAAGAACAAGATTGAAGTAGAGATTGACTTTTTATTTCATAAAAGGGGGGGGGGGGGAATATGTATGAGGGAAAACTGGGGAAGGGGACGAGAGGGATAGGAGGGAAATTCCAATTCCAGAATAAAAAAAAGGCAAATTCCTCTCTGCCAAGCCCATTATCCCACTCAGCATTGTGCTGCACTCTCGGCCCATTTCCTCTGTCGTGTTCTCAACTCCACCCGCTCCTCCAGTCAGCCCTCACTTCAAAAGCTGAATTATACGGTCTCTGTGTGCGAACAATCGGGCTGAAGAAGCAGAAATTGTGTTAAATGCATCGCGAGACACTTGGGGCAATTAGGACCCTGTAGCGAGCACTTGAATCCTCGTCTCGACCCCCAGCACTCTCTCTGGACAAGGGCTCTTACATTTCAAATATCTGATCACCTCCATAACAAACCCATCGTACCAAGTTCATTCTATTCATTGGTATAATTTTCTTATTTAAAAAAATTAATTGAGGATTATGAGATACTCTTGCTTCGTGTTCTTCTTGTTGAGTTATGGTTTACTTAACGACTATGCGAGTGCGGTCCGTGGGAAGTATGTGGAAGGAACATTTGTGGCTTAATTTTAAGTAATATAGCATCTTCCTTGAGATACTAAAACAACCAAAGAAAATCTTCAAGAAACTTATCTACGGATCGAGATTTGAACCAAGGACGTCCCAAATATGAAGCATGAGTTTTAGCCCTTGGATCCGACCACCGGTGTCAGATTTATCTCACTTCAGGCAACTGCCATTGCACAGTTTTGTGACGAGTGACTTACGTAGTATTTACACTGAGAGTGATTCTCTCTCATTGAAGCTACTGGGTCTTGCAGGCATCCACTGCTCCAGAATTAGCTCATGCATGAGAACTAGCGTCTCATAACCTCAGAATTTGTTATAACCTGGTAATACATGCAACTCTAACTCGAATCCTTCTGTCTTCATTCACGGATTAAATCATTCATTCACATGTGAAAAATTCAGATGCCAGCTTTAAATTACTGTAAAAGTAAGGTAAAACTGAGCGGCCTCCGTAGTCTAGGGATAACGTTCACACCTCGTGACTCCTGGAATTTTTAAGGGCGGAAAAATTTAGGGAAGAAGTCCTCCGGGAGGGTCTTTAACCGTGGGTCCCGTGTTGTAGCTTTACGGCACGTAAAAGAACCCCATGTCCCAAGGGGACCTCTGAGCCAAATTCAGGCCATTTCCCGCCCAACAGTAGTCTCTAACGCCTCCGGTAGATGGGGAAACATCGAGATACCCCTGAGCCAGTAGAGGCCGAACTCGCTGGCTGAGTCGGGACTGATGGCACGCACCAGTATCGGTAGGGAATAGAGACTGGTAGAATATCACAGGGGGACGCACAATGGACCAATATCTGGTCTAAGTGCATGGGGAAACCCACCCTCTCCAATAACAACAACAAGGTAAAACTGTCCCTATGATCATTTAATTAAGCATAAGGCCACAAAGGCTTTTGGGGGAATGGAGGCATAGCTCCACCATTTTTTACTTCGGCACTAGATTGAGGTGAGTGGTCAGCTTCACGCCCAGGCCGCTTTACTCTGGCGAAAATTCTCCGGTACGTATTGAGTAGGAGGCTTTGTGGGCCCCAAATCAAGTCTGGATACTTTGGAAAAGTGAAAAATCTCTTATTCCCGCCCGTAGCCCGTCGCCATTCTGTTCTGACTATAAACTGTGCATTAGAATTCGAATGCCTACAAGAACACTTGCCGTACAAGCAGCGTCCCACTGACCAAGTTGGCTAAAGCGGCAAAGCTTCTAACTTCTACTCGAAAGATGATAGGTTCGGACCTCGGTAGGGACACCGTTTATCTTGAGTGACTTTGTTCGTGGGTTTCCTCAGTTCGTCCAAACAAATACAGGGATACTGCCTTAAATTAGGACACAATGCTGCTATTCACATCCGTTACAACTCATTTCCACAGAGTTCAGGTTTCTGACAGCGCCGCTAACTGAACTACAAATATACAGTATAAGACAAACGTCACACTCAGGAAACATTGCAGATTATGAAGTGTTCTCTCTGCTCCACTCCCTTTTAGGGTTAAACAGTGGAAAATATTCGCTCCATGTTTTACGAGTATTATAACGAATGTTAATTAGAGTCAGTGAGCAGAGGAATATCCTACACGAAATAAGAAAACGGAAGGCTAATTGGATTGGTCATGTTTTACGCAGAAACTGCCTTCTAAAAGAAGTTATTGAGGGAAAGATAGAGGGGCGGATAGAAGTGACAAGAAGACGAGGAAGAAGACGTAAGAAGATGCTGGATNACTTTGTTCGTGGGTTTCCTCAGTTCGTCCAAACAAATACAGGGATACTGCCTTAAATTAGGACACGATGCTGCTATTCACATCCGTTACAACTCATTTCCACAGAGTTCAGGTTTCTGACAGCGCCGCTAACTGAACTATAAATATACAGTATAAGACAAACGTCACACTCAGAAACATTGCAGATTATGAAGTGTTCTCTTTACTCCACTCCCTTTTAGGGTCCAACAGTGGAAAATATTCGCTCCATGTTTTACGAGTATTATAACGAATGTTAATTAGAGTCAGTGAGCAGAGGAATATCCTACACGAAATAAGAAAACGGAAGGCTAATTGGATTGGTCATGTTTTACGCAGAAACTGCCTTCTAAAAGAAGTTATTGAGGGAAAGATAGAGGGGCGGATAGAAGTGACAAGAAGACGAGGAAGAAGACGTAAGAAGATGCTGGATAACCTTGGGACAGAAGAGGATACTGTCATTTGAAGGAGAAAGCTCTAGATCGCATTAAGTGGAGGAATTGTTTTGCAAGAGACTGTAGACCTGTCATCTGACAGATCACTGATGATGATGATGATGATGATGATGATGATAACGAATGCAATAGACATAATAGGTAAAAGACAGAGCTATCCCTGTACCAGGCCATGAAGGCCCATAGGGTTGTGAGACGTCGAGGCTCCCACATTTTCTAGACAATCGGCTGATAGATGGCAGTGGGATTGTTAGCCTTACGCCCCGGCCGCTCTTTACTCCCATGAAGATTCCTGGTATTTATTTCTGTTAGAGGCTGAGTCGAACCCAGGGCCATAGTGTGGCTGGAAGAATTAGGTCAAATGAGAAAATACAATGACCTCATCGGAAATAGAATCCGCGATCTTTCGGCTTTTAGTATAATGGCTCAACTAACTATATTACCGCGTGTCCCGTAGACCTAACAGACAGGTCGCAACGGGTACTTTGCCTAACGCTCCTACTTGTCGAGAGACACCGGGTTAAAATCTCAGTCAGAATACAAGAAATCTTGATGTACGTTTCTCAAAATAAACCCCAAAATAATTCTCAACTTAGACTACGGCACGTATTTACATATTATTTCGAATTCATTTTCACGAATTATCCCAGCACTGGACGCTTTCATATAAGATAGACTCAACTTTTTCAAATAAGCCATAAAAACTAGAAGTTTGGAAAGAACTAATAGCCTACTTCCATTCGATATGACAAGGGCCGTACTGAAAACGACGGATCCAACAATTCTTGTATTGTTTCTTGTGTTTTCATTGCCGAGGGAATGTTTTCACCGAACAGTTGTATAGCAACAACAGGGGGATAATCAAATACTTACTTACTTTTAGAGCTGAGCCCTTCTTGAGGAGAAGCCAAATCTACAGCTACTCAAGAATTTCCCAGAATTTTATGGAACCCGAAGGTTCATTACCGTGTTTACAAGAACCCATCACTGGTCCCTATACTGTGCCAGATCAATCCAATTCATACCATCCCATCCTATCTCTCTAAGAGCCATTTTAATACTGCCCACCCGCTTGTGTCTTGGTCTTCCCAGTGGCCTCCTTCATTCTGGCTTTACCACCAATATCCTATATGCATTCCTCATCTCCCCTATTCGTGCTACATGCCCTGCCCATATCATACTCCTTGACTTGATAATTACAATACAATTATACAAGTTATGGAGCTCCTCATTATGCAGTTTTTATCAACCTCCTGTCACTTCATTTCTCTTCGGTCCAAATATTCTCCTCAACAGCCTGTTGTCAAACACCCTCAGTCTATGTTCATCCCTTAATAATCAAATACAGAGACAAAATAAGACTGCTATCGGGCGAAAAATTTAGTAGCTATAATTTAAGTAAAGGTTAATATTTGGTTAGTTGTCAGGCTATTTTGGTGATGAATATTGAGAATAGGCTTATTATAAGAAATTCAATCTAGAATCATTTTAATGAGTTAAAATATATCTAAAGTTATTTCTTTAGGGAGCAATTCTTTGTATTCGAAAATGTTAAATAAATTAAAATGTTAAATAAATGGTATAAATTGTAGAGCCCTGTAGAAATATTTGTCTCTACATAAACAAATATAAACAGTTCGCCTTTTATATAAAATGAAACTTGGATTCTGTGTGAGTGGGCGCAGCTGGTACAGTTGCCGTTCACGCAAATTGCAATGTAAATTGAGTGAAGGATCCTGGTCTAATCTTTTCTTTAAGTTCCACCGAGACACTCAAACTTGCTCTAAATTAAAGAATCTGTACTCGGGAAATTCCCCCCAAAGAAGGGTCAATTTATTTACTTCATCGAAAATGCGATGAAATCCAATTCCGCTCAATCCCATCTGCAAGGGGAAAAGAGGATTTTTATGATTGAGTATCTATAATCATATCAGGGCAGACAAACCCTCTTATGTTTCACTGAGACACGAATATATTTCTTCTTATAGCTACGGGAAGGGTCAGCGTTCCCTTTACGTTCCTTCAGGATTAAGTACGTATGTACCTTCGTACAGCCTGTTCCGAAGTACATGTGTACGCTATTTCTGTTGCCCCGCATTTCGTAACAGAAAGAGATTTGTAATTTGTGATATGTTCAAAATATTGCAGACTGTCGCGTCTTATTCAGACGGGGAAGTAGTGAGTATTCATCACATAATTGCGAAAAAATATCTTCAAAATTTTATTCTACAGAAGAAATGTACAATTTTTCTGCACGTCAAATAATTCTTGGTGCTCCCTAATTTAATTGCAACTGATTTAGCGGGAACCCCACGCCATGTGATTATCTCCAGTCCTTCCGTAACCTCACTACAAGAGTACATCTCTCTGTGTCTGCGTATTCTGAAGAAGAGGAAGAATAATCCCATGCATTGAAAACCAACTCCGTGGCTTTAGTCCACATGCGAACTATACCGACCGAGCGACCACCGCTTGTCGACGAAGTTAGTGGCAACTTTAGCGGATAGAGGGTGTCCCAAGTTCAGCGCAACGGATCCCCACGGCCGTTAATCTCGGTTTTCTAGACCGGTCCCATGCATTGAATGCTGATCAAAATTATATATATATCTATAAGGTCCAAGTCTGTTATCTGCAACAGAACGTTTCATAAAATTTATATCTGATATTGACACAGCAGCCAGATTACATCATGGACTTCAGATGTCAACGTTTCCAGAATAGCAGGCCTCGAATACTTAATTCATACTGATCTTTCTGTATTGCCAGTGGGGTGGGACTAAATCCCTTGTACTGCGCCCACTTTTGGCCTATTGTATCAGCCCCAGATGATAGGTGAGGGTGATTGTAGAGCAACTGGTGGAATCAAGATTGGCAAGGGAAACCGAAGTACTCGGAGAAACCCTGCCCCAGCGCCACTTTGTCCACCACAAATCCCATTTCACCAGACCCGGGATCGAACCCGGGCCGCCGCGATGGGAAGCCAGCGACTGACCGCTTGAGCTATGGCGCGGCCACACGTACTGATAGTAACATCGAGTCGGTAAAGTTGATGGGTTAAAGTGATTGGCTTCGAACTGAATGGCCGCTGCTTCATTCCAGATGGCGTAAAGATTTATTTTTTCTTGCCAGAAACTGAAATCGGGCTGGTTGTGAGGTTCACCCATCTTCTTATCCAATTGATACCGGTGGTTCTTTCTCCGGGGTTGAAGTGAACTAAGCCTGAAGTTGACCATACGCCTCTGTCTAGTGTCGAGTTTCGTAATTCTTGGAGCCCTACACCCACTTAATCATGCCTCTTCATAGCGCGGTGCCGTTCATATGGACAATAGGAGATCGTCAATTTCAGTATCATAAAACCGAAATCAATTTGAAGAAATAAGAGAAGCCGCACAGTATCACAAAGTGACAGTTGATTTAAGTAATTGCTATGTGTTGCAGATGCTGAGCTGACAGAGGAGGAGATGATCCTGGCAAATGCTGCCAGCGAGAGCCACGAGGCAGAGCAGGCAATCCAGAAGGCCGTGCTGGTCCTCAAGATGCGCGAAGGCATTGGCTCCCTGGCTAGAATCCTCAAAACCATAGAAGTAAGTAGCATATTCCCCCCCCCCCCACT